CCAAAATCATCTTGAGACCATGTTTGGCTCACATCTGTCCATCACATCTGTATTTTAAGAACGGTGATGTGCAGGAGGCCAAATTCACTCTCAACGCAGGCAAGCAGACCAAAGTGTGCACTCGAATCGCATGCATTTGACGAACTTAGACTTGACAAAAATGAAAAAACTTGCAAACCTGACCTGACACTAATGACTACTGACTTCACTCTGACTTTAGCTTTTTCACTTGGAATCTTTAAAATGATGTTAAAAAAGTGTGTAGCATATTAACTAGAGGAAAGGTCTTTGGCAGTGCAGACTAAGTAGCTGAAAGATTCCAATTGCTTGTCATTGTGTCAGATGAATAACGAACTTAGGCAAACCTGAACAGTTTGCTTTCAAATTTTAGGATGTTTATTTTGAAGTAATGAATGCAAAATTGTTGTTCAGCTGCTTAAACTAGAACCACTGCCTGGTTGTTGTACGCCTCAGCCAACCAGCCAAGGAAATATGGTGACCATCTCCTCTTCCTGAGTTACAGCATTGAATAATGGTCAGAAGTGTTTTTGCAGAACATGTCAGTTGACCTTTGACCATTTGCATATAAAATGGCATCCCTTCATCATTTTATCCTATTAGATATTTGTGTTAAATTGTGTCTTAATTAGCGCATGAGTTTGAGATATGTTCCAAACCCTGTTTTATGAGGTCAGAGTCACCTTGATGTTTGACCACTAAAATCTAATCAGTTCATCCTTAAGTCCAAGTGAATGTTCCTGCAAAATTTGACAGTGGGACAGACGGATGAACGGATGGACAACCCGAAAACATAATTCCTCTGGCCCTGGGTGTTGCCGGCGTGAGGGAATGAAAATTAAAATGGCACTTAATTTGCTGACTTGATTAGGACTTAATACACAAAGTTTAGGATTTAGGACTTGACTCAGTACTTCTGACAATTCTGTTATGGCAAAATTAAAGTCAAAACAGTTGGGAGTATGTTAAACTTATTACAGAGGAATAGGTGTTAATTTCCTGAAAACTTACAGGCAGCAGCTCCGAAAGAATATGGAAGCCAAACTTTTATTTTGCTTGTAGATTTACATGGATTTCACTGCTGGTGCTGGCTGTTGTATCACCATCTTATTTGTATGATTACACATTGACATACCTTGAAATGTAAAAGCAGCAAACAAATATGGCCAAATGAATTACAGAAACTGTAATGAATATATAACTCTACCTTTATTGAGGACATTTGTTGCAGCAGATAGAAGTAAACCAGGTAGAGCTCAACAACAGCTGTGGCATTTTCAATTTGAGTGCCTGTCAGTGTTTTTACTGAATCGCATAGCCTGAAGTCAAATCCTCAGCCAGCTACACACACCTTGTTCAAACAAGAGGCATGAGTGATCAGATAAGACCAAACATGGAATTTCCTGTCCTGGAAAACACAACCTGAGGGTAAGGTATCATTAGCGTTTATTATGACCTGAGGGGAAGGTACACAGGAGTTATGAAATGTAATGACTCATCTAGAGAAAACAGATACAACTGTGACATCATTTATATTACCCATCTTGTTATTCCCCGGAAGACTTTTGGTTTTGGAATACTACTCGGCCACACGCTCGTATTGCAGTTGTTTAAATGTTGCTGTGTAGCTCAGTGGGTGGAGCGTGGCAGCAACAAGATAAGGAAGGCTTCAGTTTTATGCATACATTCAGCTCCGTGGTGCGCTGCCAGGTTTAGGGGTTCAGCTCCCTGTCTAGATCAATGAGTGGAGAAATGCACTAAGTCTGCCAGGTTTGGGGATTAAAATCACACAATGAGCCATCCATGCTGAAGATGGAAGCACCTGCAGTTTCCATAATGTGCCTTGAATAAGAAGACAAACTTAATTAAACGTTAAACAGAAAATCCCCCCACTCTCTTGCACTGTTACATATCATATCTGTGATGCTTGGTGATTCCAAGGAGTTATTTTGTGTTACCATGAAAAAACAAAAGTATGTTTTTTTTCTAATCTGCATAGCAGCATTAAACATGCACATCAAGTGATCAACTACTCTAAATCACTGCAAGGTCTAATAAACTGCACATAACTCTATCCACAATACATTTGATTAATCAAATGTGATCGTAGCTTTGAATTTTAATGTCTTCTAGGGTCAGGCCAAAGTTATTCTAAGGTGCATTTGAGGGTCTTCAGCCCCTTTGCAAGTGATTTATAAAAACTGAAAAGGAGGGAATGAAGAAATGCAAACGGGATGATAAAAGAAACTCAACAAGGCTACACCATGAAAATTATTTCATGAAAACTTGATTGAAAACTTCAGTATTTGTCCTTGTGCGACATCTTTTCTGAAACATCTTTTATTTCACACATGGCAGACCTCGCATCTGCAGCCTCTTCCTGTTCACATTTTGCCAACAGACTTTTCTGTTTTCCTTACAGTGATTGTTCTCTCTATATTAAGAAAAGAGTTATGGCATCCTGCTTTGGTTGCCATGTGTTCAATGTTATATTAAATAAAGTGTGTTGCAGTCATAGTGCAAACCAATATGATATCTATGGTCCAGTGGGAGGCTCTCAACCTGGATGTCAAAAAGAACATTTCGGGAAATTGTGAAATTATAAGGAAAAAAAGAAAATCATTATCTTTTAGTATCAAAGGCCTTTCACTGGAAGTGTGTAGAATATTTTTGGAGAAAAGCTTTCAGCATTGGTAGCTCCACAGGAAATCAAAACTCCAACCATGGCAATGAGAGTTAATGCCTTGCTCTTGAACTACACACTCAGTAAAACTCAGTTACACGTCTGTAAAATCTGAGGGAAAAGAAAAAACAAAAATCAAAACCTAAGTGTCTGACCTGTGTAAATATTGTAAGTGTAAGATCATTAAGAAGTCTTGTACAAAAGATGATACAGATGTTGTTGGGTGTGTGTAAGGGGACCTCCTTAAAAGTTCAACAGCTGGTTCCAACTCTAGCATGCGCACTGGAATGGAGACTGATGTGGCCTTTGAGAACAGCTGGAAAACCTGGAGACCAAACTTAAGCCAACTTGAAAAGGGGAATTTTGATTTTTTTTTTTTTTTCTGTGCTACTACTTTGTCGGGATATGATTATGTCCATGTGTTGATTACAGAGAGCTCTCTGTAATCAACACATGGACATTTGCTGCCTGAGAAGAACCTGAACTTGGTGAAGGCTTTGGAGGATGCAGGATGGCCAAGTGGATGTTGAACTCCACCAAATGCAACCTACACAGAGGCTGTGGGCTATAATATGTTATCTTTTGTATTGAGTTGTATTGAGTTGTATTGAATTGTGCTTGCTTTAGTTTTGCCGAATTAGCTGGCTGATCCTGTGTTACACTAAATCTAGTGAGAATTTGTCCATCTGAAGACAGGTCAGCTCCTGTAAATGTCGTGTACTGTCTCTGTCACTGACTGATTTGAAGTAGACAACATCTGGCTACTTCAAATTAGGGGTTGTAAATAAATACTTGTGGTACTGGTACTTTAGTTTTATTTTGTGCTGCTATGTATTTCCACTTCATGCCACAGTTAAATATGGTATTTTTTAATCCACTGTGATTTTGATTTCAGTAGTTAAACTACTTTGGGGATAAAAACATTGCTACGTAGCAAAAGTCAAACCTAAAGCTTCTGTAAACGATCATCACTGCTACTAGAGGTCACACTAGACCACCAGCATCTCAGACCAAAACAAACACTTGTTTGTTGGCCTCGCCTCACTGCTAATGTAGCCGGTCTCTAATGAAAACAGGCATGTAACATTGTGTAGCCATCAAGTTACTTACACATGGAGCAGAAGAAAAGCCAGTTCCGAGTCTAGTAGGAGTACTCCAGCCGCTCGTAGGGGTTTCCATCTCGGTAAAGCCAGACCAGTCTTGGCTCCATGGTCGATTCAGCCTTGGACTTGAATGTCCAACTTTAAAAACTGTTGTTCTGACGGTCCAACGCCCGAGCTTTGAGCCAGGCTGTTTGTACTTTGGTTTTTTATCTTTATCTTTGGTTGTATCTTAATGAAAACTCGCCTTTTCTTCCGTGGAGAAAATTCTTGGAGATGGCATTCACCTGAACGCCGCGTACTGAACCGCGCCATTTTTTCCTGTGGGCGGTCCCTGTGTGTTTATAAACGTGCACCGGTTTACGGGAGGGATTCAAATGCACTAACATGTACGCGCGCACTCACTAACATGCGAGCAGGCCCCACATGTTAAAAAAAAATAAAGAACAGAGGAGCTGGGACTGCAACACACCTGGATTACAACTTTGCTCAGGACGCCATTACTCCACTATATCATTGCAAGGGAAATAGTTGTTTGCTGCTGTATTGCCGCATTACGGCATTTCTGTTTGTTGCCCACTCTGCAGCAGAATTACTATTAAAAACATTTTATTTTTCCTTTTCCATCATCTCATAAAATATCAGTAACATGATTAATAAAAACATCCTTTATTTACAATTTTGTAATAACTTACAACAACCGTTTAAAAAAAAAAAAAAAAAAGGCCCGCTTGGAGCACTCTGATATACGATTTTTTCCAGGAGCACCTTGAACGCAGCCAAACTTTTCTCTGGAGTGTACACTTTAGCACAGTGAAGTTTCCTTTTAGCACTGATTTTGGATATCTTCTAAACAGTTTTGACGAGTTTATGAGCCAGGTTGGGTTTTATTGAGGATGTGAGTGAGTGAAGAGTGAGTCAGGACGATGAAGAAACGACACAGCTGCTGACGTCGCCGCGGTTATTTCCTTCATTTCACAGGTCAAATCTGTTGGTTGTTTTTGTGGAGGAGCGTTGACATGTAGCTCCTCAGTTCGCGGGATGTGCGCGTGGTCTTCAAGTGTCTCTACTCTCCGGGGAACTTTCTAACTGTCTCAACTCTCGACTGAGTCTTTTTTTTTTTTTGTGGATAAAAATGTTGGAGAAGCTTTCACGTTATTTCACCACGGAGGGTGAACTTCATCATGGGAAGAGTCGGTGGACCTCAGCGGCGGTTGCTGTGATCCTCCTGGGTCTGTTTGCTTCATCTTGCTGGGCAGAGGAAGCATCCTGTCACGGAGCATACGACCTCTACTTTGTTTTAGACAGGTAAGTAACACAGTAAAAATAAGTTGTTGAACTTCTGTTTCAGGCTGCTGCACTCTGGAGATGGAAGTTTGATGTTTTTTTTTGTCATAAAAAGTAAACATTGCCTGAGGAGAAGTGATGCGGCCGGGGGTGAAGTAGGTCTCAGGGCCGGGGCATTAGGTGTGACACAGTTTTCTGTGACCTTATTAAGAAATGTATGCCACTGCACGTTTCTTTTTTTTTTTTGCATGGCAGCTGTCACCGAAAATGGGGTCACCATGGTAATTAGGTTGAGAAACGACTTTTGCCAAAAGTATTTGGACACTTATCTCCATATGTGGTTACCCTGGTGTCCACAAACTTTTAAGAAAGCGATGCCTTCATGCTGCAGCATACAGTGATATATAAGGCAGTCACCACAATCACCCACAATCAAGGCTAAGCCCGTGGATGCCCATGGTTTTATAATGAGATGTTCAACAGTCACATGTGCCTGTAATATCCAGATGTTGACATACTTTGTAGTGCACCTGTGTAGAGCGCCGACGCCTCACCTCTCAACACCTGGTTAACTTATCAGTCTGTTTTCCATAAGTTGACCAAAGTGTCACAGAATATGATGGGTCACAGATCTCACTGTAACACCTCTTATGCACATGTCATTAAACTGAGTTCATGAGCAAGGCAGCTGATAGCTATACCCTGTTTTGGTAGAGCTGCTTAGTAGAGGCCATCAGCATACTGTGGTTAAACTGGGCAGCTTCCATACCACAGATTGGCATGTTTAGCTCATTTACTACAAGTTAATCTACACTTTACTACCCATTGTTTCCTAGTCTTGTCTGGTTTGATTTATTTTGTCATATATATATATATATTTCATGAATTTCCCCTAGAGGATAAATAAAGTATAGTATAAACAAACATGAACAAATCAGCACATAAAGTGAAACCATCATTGTGTTGTAAGGAGTGATTAACTTTCAAATGAATCTGCAGCTGCTGCAGGTTTTGCTAAATGCAAGCAGACCTGATGATCATGTCCAGAGTCAGTCATGTAACACTTGGTGGTTACATGAGAGGAACCGAGTGCTCAAAAAAATCTCATTGAACCGCACAGGTCTAACCATAACCACTTTAACTAGTAGTTTTACCCACCAAAAGTTAACCAAGCCTGAACTGTGACGTTTGTCCATGTATTGTTTACCTCACATGGGACACACTGCCAGTGTAGGGGAGTGGTGAAAAGGAAGAATGGAGGTTTGTCAGCACTTCCTCCCTCACAGTAACAAAGAAAATGTAATTTGCAACGCCTTTCTAAGCGAGTTAAACTATCGTTTGTGAAGGTTACATCATTACATCCTTTCTATATAGAGGTGGAAACAGCCAGTCTGCCTTGATAGTGAAAAGCTTCTTTCAGTCACTGAAAATTGTTGAAGGTTTTTGGATTTAAAAACTTTAAATATTGTACCTCAGTCTTTTAATCCTCTCTGCCCTATATGATCAAGTAACAAGAGATTTTACCATTGTAATGTATGGGCCTTTTTCATCTTAGAATATCACAGAAAACAAAACCTGAAACATCGTTTACAGGAGAATAGTATGTGTTAATCATACAAACTAGCAAGAAAAAATTGCATCACCATTTGCAACACGACTTTGGCAGTGCGCCACTTCCTGTGTCTTTTGTGCACTCATTCTTTTGCTGCAGACATCAAACATACGGCTACCACCTGACAGCCAGATTCAGTCACTTACAGCTGGACTTTTCAGCGCTGCAGACGCGTAATGCAAAAAGACCTCCACTATATAACGGAGAGTTTACAGTCTCGACAGCAACCGTTTTTAATCCTGTCCTCCCCCGGTTTGGAGACGTGCCACTGTCAGGGCCATTGGGTTGAAACACTGCTCCCCTGACCCATTTCCAAACTGCCCCACCCTCATCTAAATGGCAAAATTACAGGATGATGACCAAGATTATTTGGCACCAGTTTAATTTGGTCTGCATTTTTGTATACGTAAGTTGGAGGTCTGTTTTATTTACAAATACAAGTTTATATTTGTGAAACCTGTAGGCCTGATCTGTAGTGAAATGTCTGTCTTGAGTTTGCTATGGCGTCACATCGTTGAACAACTTTTTGCTTGAAGTTTATTTATGCAGATAAAATAGCTCCACCATTGTGTTTCCTGGTTATACTGATAAGACTAAGGTCCTAATGTCAGCAGTTTGGGCTGTGTGATTTGCAGCGGCGGTCATTTGCAACGCTTCTGTACAAAGACATTTAGTACAGATCTTTGTATTCAGACTCCAACTGATGATGATTGCATCTGAGGCCAGTTCAAGGAAGTTTTCCTGTTTGCTTTTCTTGCTTTTCTAAACGTCCAGGTAGCTTTTTCCAAGGAAGTGTCCTGTGAAGTGATGCTTCTAAAGCCTTTTTTTTTCATTCAGGGGACTTTCACTGAGATCCAGGAATGTCTTGATCACTCTCACACAGTTACACACCTCACACCTGGAAGCTGACGAGGGCCTCTGTTACACCGGCTTGCGGACACGTACGCGGACAGCTGCTGACGCCGCGTATGCCTAGTTTGTTTTATTTATACTTGGCTTGGAGGACGAGTTCCAAACACGCACAGTAGATCATCGCCTTAATTGTTTACGCTTTATGAATCAAATTGAAATGGCGACATCCATGCATCGAGAAGAAGAGCTGCTCCATCTGCTGTACTTTTTCTTTTAAAGATGAATTGTAAACATGAGGGCAGCAGTGGAGCTGGTCCATGTTTGTTTTCCAGCCTAGGTGCACTTGCTTTTTTTTTTTTACATCATACAGACCTAGCGGACCCTCGCATATTCGCAGATGTGGAGAGTATAACATTAGTGTAGTACACCCACACTCTGATGTGGTGGTCTAGGGGAGGAGCTAGCTCAAATAATCAAATGGATAATAATAATAATATATTAATAGATGATATTGACATTTTCATTTAATTGAACAAACTTCGAATACTTTGCAATTATCAAATAGTAACTGACAATTAAATTAAAGTCACATTATTACGCTATTAAATGATCCACGTCTTTTTCAATAGCTGAAGTTATTTTCCTTTTCCAAACAAAAATCCAGTTGTTATGTATCAGCCACTGTTCTCAGAGGACAAGGCGCCAAGAGAAACCTGAGCTGTTTCCAGTTGGTATCAGACATTAAAACAAGAGTCAAGTGTTATGTAACTATGTTTCTATGAAATCTGGATGACCTCCGGATGTATATCCACGTGTCAGCACAGAAACAGCTGAGGTGCATCCATGTAGACAGTTGAGGGTAAATGGGGACGAGACTGTCGGTGCTCACGTCTCAGACGCTATTGAATCTTCTATCAGTCTACTGTATATAACTGTTTTATTGCCCCTGTCTGGGGGCGGGTGTGTTTTGTAATCAGTAGATAAACATATGCATACTCTGCATGAGCAGCGATAGCCACCACGGCACAACGGAGTGAGCTTGAAGTGGGAGGGAAACTTATGGAAATGCAGACTGCGCCTCGAACACCTTGTCTGATCAATGGCACCATCAACGTGATACAGATGTGTTCCGGAGCGGTAGCATTAATCTGTCACCTCTCTAACCGCCACACCAACACTTAACCACAATTAACCGCCGCTAATTACCCGCTGACATTCCAGTATTGTCAAAGCGTCTAGAGGAACTTTCTTTTACCCTTTTGGCCGCCGTGTCTTCCCTCCACTGCGTGACCTTGTCTCCGGGCAGCAGGGAGGAGAGAGAGGTGGCATGAAAGATGAGCCTCCTAATGGTCAAACTCTTCTGTTTTATGTTCTCCGCACATACATCGGATTGTAATTATTGGTTTAATTGCCTCTTTGTCGTTACATCAAGGGCACATTTTACACACTGTATTCACTGTGGTTGACTTGATCGAGGGGTGAGCAGGGCCAAGGGCTACAAGTTGACACCCACCTAACATTGGTTTGTCCTTGGTTACAGCGAGTTTATTTATTAATTTCTAAGTCTTAATTGGTTTTAATGACAGGAACTAAACCTTAATACAAAAGGAAAACCTCCCATTTCCAATTTTGGGAGTTGTAATTCACTGGATTTTTGCTCAGTAGACTCTTTATGACGGCCATAAACCAAACAACGTTTCAAGCGATTTTCAGTCATAGACAAATTTCAGAATAAAATCATTAAAGTTTTTGCGAGACTTCGTGTCATCTTGTCCTTGTCATCTTGACCTCGACTTTTTTTTTCGTCTTCATGTTCTGATGAAATCATGAAAACAAGTTTAATATTATCATAAGTTTTTAGTTTTGTCTCATACAAATAGTGACTTTCTGCAGCAGTGAGCCTGGAGGCGAGTGGAGGGAGGCTCAAGAATGTGAGTGGTTTGGTGCAAACCCTCCCATTGAATACATGAGGGAGTTAAGGTTAATAGGACACAAAATAATTTCAAAATAAAACAGGAAATCATGACTACAAAGTCCAAACACAGTCATTTTAGGGGCAAATCATGACAATTGTAGTGTTGAGTGACTAATTTTATGTGATAGTAACGAAAATGTAGGATTTCAGTCTGGTCTCTTCCTCTAAATGTTCACCAAGAGCATCATGGGAAATAATATTGCAAACAGTGACTCTGCAAGATCCTCAGTCTTTACGAAATCTTGTAAAGTGTGAGACTAAAAGTACACATATTCTTTAGGTGTGAGAGTGTGTCAGACTTTAGTCTTTTCAGACCTTTAGTGGATGGACATTATTTGGCTTTTCTTAGTCCACTTCGTTGTGTTTTGTTGTATGTATTTAAATCATGTGTGTTGCTGTTTGTATTGCACTTGTGTTCTTTTATGTTACACATTTATTTGTTTACCTTTTTGTAATGACCTTTTCCTACCTGCACCCTGTATTTAGTTACCTCCACCTCCATCTAACAGCTTCCAGTTCATAAAGACGTAGTTACTGCCGTATCACTTGTGTGATCTTTCTACCTTCTTCCTTTTTTTCTTTTTTTTTGGGGGGGGGGGGGGGATTTCCGCTGTGACTGCAGCAGCCAACTAGATTTGTAGAAAGGCAAAGCTCCTGTGAACATTTTAGGGCTCTAACAGCTGAAGTGGCTGTTATACTACACAGACTTATCAGCACAATTATCCAGCATGTGGCTGGTGTTAATGTCCAACTGTGGTACAAAGCACAAATACTGTACAGTATTTTACTCCCCAGCACTCAATCTGCTGCCGCTGACGAGCTGCGAGCTGACTGTTGTTCTCTTGTTTCAGGTCTGGGAGCGTTGCTACCAACTGGTTCGAGATTTACTCATTTGTGAAGAATCTTACAGACAGGTTTGTGAGGTGAGTAAGAGGTCACTTGGGGTCAAAGTCATATAATCTCTGGAAGTATGAAAAAATAATATGTTGTGTTGGAGTCAGGAAAGGTTTCGTAATGCTCATGTTTTGAAATAAGGAAAAACATGAAGTGAAAATTTTACTCCCTAAACTTGCAAATATTGCATGATTTAATGTGATTTAATGTTGATAGCAACATGGAGTTAAAACAGAATATGCATCTTAAATCAATAAAAGCACAAGTCTCCTGTAAATATTAGATATTCATCATCTTTAAAAAGTCGCTGTTGTACACTGACAACATAACTGACCGCAGGAAAATGAAGCAAATGATGATGAGTTCAGAAAATAGTACAATTCTTTTGACTGAATTCATCAGCGTGGTTGTTTAATGGGATCAATATCTACAATTCAAGAGCCGACGACATTAGCTTCAGCCTGTTGTACAGATTTAAAGGACTTTCCACCTGCTTCACAATCATTTTGCAGAAACCGTGGCTTTGTGCATAATTCATAAAAAAAATTAAAATAAATAAATAAAAAAGACAAAACGGCAGAAACCGGCTTGAAACGTTCAGCTTGCATAACGTTTGAGTCAAACGGCGCCTGCCAGCACAGTACAGACGGTAGCGACCCAGCCAGAATGAAGTGGTTGGTTGAAGAAAATAGCAAAGGCACCAGGTGGGAGTGGGTGGCAGAGAGGAGCAGTCTTCTGGGCTGTGAGAATGGCCATTTGCACCGGGGGGGTCCGGCTCCACACTTATCCCCTGCTTCCACCACAGAACGGCTGACAGGCAGACAATGTACAGTAAAGCAAGAGAACACTGGAAGGCGACGAGGACAATCTGCTAAACAATGCTCGCTCACCAAGAGCACTTCTGTTCCGCCATGTGGAGCAAACTGGACTTCTTCTTCAACCCTCTCCCCCTCCCTCCCTCCCTCCCTCTCCCCCTCCGCACCTCCCAATCCTCTCAAAGAGAGAGAGAGAGAAAAAAAAAAAAAAATCCCACCACCACCACCACCACCCTCTGATTTGTCCTTGGCATCGCTGCCTCTTCATCCCAAGTCTTTCTTAGAAATAGAAAAATATCTCAATACCACCGAAGAGGTAACGTACACAACAACGAGCCGAGGAACTCGAAGCCTAAAGTTTGACGTTAAGTCGCCACCCACGATTTCTCAACTGTGACTTAAGCGTGGTTGGTTTTTCAGTCCACATATGACTCTAAAAGTTGCAGACAGGATGTGGACGTATACGGCTGCTACCGCTCCCTGCCAAATCTGTCCGTGTGGCTTAAAGATTGTGCTATGTTGTGCGGGGGAGGATCGCGACTGGGCCGTGTGTCATGTGGGTGAGAAATATCAGCACCTCTCCTTATGCTCCGAAGGCTCCAGATCTCTGAAGGAAACACTTGTGAGCTTAATTATCTGAAGTTTAACTCGCTCTGTGGGATGGCATCCGTGTGCCTTGTGTTGGTAATGAGAGGTGGGGAGTAACTGTGTACTTTTACTCAATTACTCCTGTACTTCAGTACTTTACTGAGGACCATATACTTCTCCTCTGCTACATTAATCCGACTGTTGCAGTCACCGGTTACTTACAGCATTTCAGATTTTGAATAAGGTTGCACCAAACTTCTTCTTAACCCTGTGCAATTCATAATTATATTTTATTTACCCGATCAATCAAATTGCATTGTAAGGTCAGTATCAGCCCTGATCAGTAATTTTTATTCAACCAAAGGTCCATTAGCTCCAAGTTATCCACTTTTCAGGAGCTCTGAGAAACAGCCTTGTTTCAGCTTGATGATAAAGTGACTTTTAGATTGATTTAGTAATTTCTAATAGATCTGTAGAGCGGCATCTACTTCTTCAACTGAGATAAAATTATAAAAATGCTCAAAATGACAGATATGAGGTTTTCTTAACCCCAGCAGGCCTGGGTTATAAACTCCCATACTTCCATAGTACCAAAAGCTGGCGTTGAATTGTAGTTCAGATTTTTTTGTTTTTTGCTTTGATAAGATATTTCCTCCTTAAATCATAATATTTTTTTTTTTACAAATTTTTAGGCGTATTAAGGTCGTTGTGCAACAGTTTTGTGTTAAAAGAGAAGTAAAGACGTGTTTGAGAAGTTTTATTTGTTAAAGAAAAATGGCTTTTGTTAAAACAATATTTGCATCAATTTAAAATTAGGTATTGAAAAAGCATAGTTGTAGTATTGATACCAAAAACTCAGGGACTTTACTGTCACTGGTATTTAAAACTTTCAAACAATATCCATCAACTAAACAGAGTCAAAAATAATAAAAATCCTCCACATTGAAGGTAGTTGCAGATGTAGATATTTGCATTTAATACATAAATTTAACTGATTATGCTTTACTTTTACTCAGGTGAAATTACAGGGCTTTTATTTTGACTGCTGTTACTTGCATAAAGACTGTGACTGGTTTGTAATCAGTCCTGAACACAAATTTACCGCTGCATAAAATTGATGAGAATTGGTGAGCGGTGGGGAGTGGAACAGGTCTGGATGTACAGACAGGATTCGGTCAGACACCAGACGCTGTGGCTGGAGACACATCAGAGTGTCCAGTGTCAGTTCACACCCTTAAAAAGTCACAGGTACAAAGTATATACTGTACATGTGCAACAGGATTTGTGTGTGTGTGTGTGGTTATGTGACTCATCACCATGACATGTTTCCCTGAATGCAAATTGATTAATCACATCCCTCAGAAGCTTAGGTCACACACTAATATTAGCTGACATTAAAGGAGCCCCTTCTGTTTGGTGAATTATTTGCATCTCTTTAACTGAACTGAACTGGTGCTAAAGCTTTATATAAAACACACAGGCTCCTTTACAGCCGCTCTGACTGTATATTACATTATCCTGCTGTGTGGGTGGTTATTTGATAAAGAGGATGAAGGACAGAAGTGATGATTTTGTGGAGTGAGGAAATAGAAAACGGATATCGTTGCATATTGTCTCGGGTGAACAGGAAGCCACCTCCATCTAAGACATTTTGAATTATTATAATTATGACTAATTTTGTTTTTGTGATTTTTGTCTTGTTTCTCTTCAGCCCCAGAATGAGAGTCTCCTTCATTGTTTTCTCAGCCAGAGCACAAGTCCTGCTGCCTCTGACTGGAGACAGGTAGGAAACTGACAAGGACACATTTACGACACTGTTATCTCATTGTATCACTCTTATTTCATGCATTACTTCTCAGCAACAATCTTGAATTACAATGATGCTTCTGATATTGTGTAATTTTGTCAAATGTCACAGATTTTTGCAATAGCGTGTTTGATTATCTGGTCAATGAGGACACTGTTGTAAATGATCAGGACGGTTTTAAAGCAATATTTGATTTATTTTTTTTAAATAATTGTGATGAAGTAACTAAATTAGTCAGGTAGTTAACTTGCTATATTAACCGAAAACACACACAATATATAATGATATTGCAAGATAAAATCCCCTACTGTGAGTATTCACATTTTAACCCTGAAGACAGGGGTGTTTAATCGAACTAGACCTATAAAAATAATTTGAATTAAATGTGTCAAAAATGTGCAAACTATTTAAATACCATTCCTGCCAATATGATTATACAGGGGAACAGCACTGTGGTCCTTTCAGTTCCTTAAGCAGTGAAGAAACAACCAGGTCTGACAAACAAAACATGGGTACAATAGATAATGATGATAATAATAATAATAATAATAATAATAATAATAGTAATGATAATGAAGTTTATTTATGATGCACTTACACATGCAGACAAATTAGCACACAAACCAAAACTGTTATAATAATATGTTTCAGTATTTATATTATCCTGTGTGTTTAACCTTGCTATAGTAACATGCCATGAAGATATTTTGTTGATTTCTGTTTCCAGTCATAACTTGACCTCTTCTAGATGAAACATTTGCATGAAGTTAGAAAGTCCCTTCCCTCTGGTTCCCCTTCTTGCCAAAGATATATTCTGGATAAACAACCTCTCCTCTCTCCTTATTACAAGAACAACTTGTTAATGTGTGTTGTTGTTAGCAAAACCACAAATCTCCACCAGATTGTTGCACAAATGATTATTAATGAGACCTTAACATGCTGCTTTTCAGTGGTAACCTGCAGTGTTGATAAATAAAGCATACTTAAAATTCTGACAAAATTTCGGTGGAAGAGAGAAGACGTGTGCCAAAATGTCAGCCATTTATTTTATGTGTGTGTGTATGTGTGTTTGTGTTTGTGTTTTAAGAAACGAGATAGAAGCGGGTCTGAAGCGCCTGCATGACGTGAAGCCAGCAGGTGAAACATACATGCACGAGGGACTAAAAGAGGTAAGTTTCACCCTCTCAACACTGATCCGATTACAGCTCAGTGGCTTTTCACAAATGATCAAACGCTGTGTAAAACTGGGATCTGATGAGACGTTTGTCTTCAACTCGAAGGCCTCCGCTCAGATTCAGAAACAGCCGCCCAAGTCCTCCAGCATCATCCTGGCTCTGACGGACGGGAAACTTGAGGTGTACGTGCACGACCTGACAGTGAAACAGGTGAAAGAGACTTGCGTGTTTATTCATTTTATTTAATTATTCTCGAATGTGATTTGGTGCCTGGAGGTCCTGCGTGTACAGAATTCTGTCTCACAATGTTGGTTTTCTTTCTTTCTTTCTTTCTTTCTGTTTAACATTCAACCTGTTGCACATCAATCACGGACACGTTTGTCTGAGCTGCAGGCTGACGAAGCGAGGAAATACGGCGCCCGTGTTTACTGTGTGGGTATCAAGGACTTTGACGAGCAGCAGGTAAGTGAGCTTTAGTCTTAATCTGCAGCAGTCGAACACCCGAGGAGCCTGTCGCTGAATGTGTGCTCAGTGATTATGGCTTTAGCTTGAGACACCTTGCCATGTTGGAAGTATGACAAGATAGGTAAACACTTGCAACATCATTGCTGTTACCTGTGTGCGGAAAAGGCAGGTCTTAAAGAGATACTCCACTTAAAAAAAAAAAAAGATCCATAATTTGATCCATAACGGTCAGTTACAATGGAGTTAAATAGTGACACGTGCTGTAAACATTAGGCTAATGGAGCTGTTGCTAAATGACAACTAATGTTTGTTAAAACACCTCTACGTTACACAAACACACACAGCACAGACTAAAGAGCGTACTTACACCTGGACATGTCAGCACTGCCATGTAGCCACAAGAAGAGAGCGATGTCCTGGGGGGAGTGTAACTTTTAAAGGTCCCATATTTTACACTTTCCCAGTGTTTTATTTGGAGTGTTGATCCATAAGAAGATATATTTGTGGTTTTAACCATCTCAGTGTAGTTTTACATCTCCTCTCTCAGGCTTCTCTCTGGAGCTCTAGTAACAACAGGTCGGTGAGCCAATCAGAAGAGAGGAGGCTTTGAGCCTCTCTTCTGATTGGCTGACTGTTTTCTGAAATAAGAATATAGCAGATTTCAGGTAAAAACACTCATAGAAACCAAATCCTGCAAGGTTTGGATGGAGGGTCCAGGTGGGCGGGGCTTGGTGACTGCTTTGTTGTGACATCACAAAGTTCCAGAAGTCCTGACGGCTGGTTTTAAGGCTCAGTTTCTGAATACAGGCTGTGTGCATTTCTCTGTGGACTGAGGCTTTGATACTTTCACAGTATTAATATAGAAGCTAGAGCTGATCTATAATCACACTACACATGGACAGAGACCTTTTTTATACAATATATTTCCTTTAAAGCTCTCTGTGAACATTAGCATTGTATGGCGTTATAAGTGGAAACTGTGGAGTAGAATCATCATTTACGCTGCCTGTTAAATCAGTTATTGGCCCATCACACTGTTCACAAATTTCATTGGCCACAGAAAAATCTGGTCACTATTTTATTTGAGTTTGCGCTCATTTTGAGGTGATGATGAGGTTTTTTCTGAGCTGCACCAAAGTCCGATTCTTTGTCCTTATGTCAGCGTTGTCTGTAGTTTAACTGCGTCTCTTCCAACATGGTGGCCTGTCCCTTGTAACCATTGGTAACCATCCTGTGATGAGCTCTTATTAAGTCATAAACAAAGGCAATATTGCTCCCAGTTCGTGCTGCAATGATTTTTTTTTTTATTTATTTATTTTTTTTTATGGTTGAGCAAAGTGTTTGCCACAGTCATGCCATCTGCTATGTCTCCTCCTGCCCATGATATGAAAGGAAAAGACAGTGCTCAGTCATAAAGAGGAAAACAGAAAAAGAAGAAAGCAGCGTTAAAAATCAGCAGTACTTGTTCTTTTGCTCCAGTCTCTCGTGTCACCAACAGCTTGCTGAGATCGCGGACACCAAGGACCAAGTGTTTCCTGTCAAAGATGGCTTCCATGCGCTCAAAGGCATTGTCAATTCTGTAAGTTCGACCACTTTCTGTTTGTCTTTGTGTGTCGGTTAAGGTTTGTGGTTTCAGCTGAATTTCTCTCGGGCACAGAACTAGTCATCATCTTTTAGAGGCTTTATCCTGATTTTTTTAGAAAGCTGACTTTGGGAATTGGGAATCAGGTGGGCCAAAAAAAAAAAAAAAAAAATGTTTCCTGTCTCGGCTTCATTGAAGTTCACCACCTAAATTAAAGCAAAAAAAAAACAAACAAGAACCTCAGTGAACTTCCTGCTAAGCTGCACGGAAAATGTCTGCGGTAATGCTGCTAATTGTAGACGGAGAAGGAAATGTCTTAGCCGCTCTGCAGTGACTTAGACACTGGGAGTGGGAGCAGCTTGACAGTTACTCACTGTCCATATGACATCCTCCTCCTGCAGCAGCACTCCAATACAATTAAAGCTTTTATTTCTTATTTGAGATGAACTTCAAAATAAAAGCCATCGAAACCCATCGTGTCGGTGAAAAGCTGTCCGACAGCGAGAGTCCCTTAAACACTGTTTATATGAAGTTTCCCATGCAGCCTCCTTGTCTCCTGCCAGCCAATTAGTGATACTTTCCGTTTGCCGCAGCTCTCGGTCTGAAACGCTGTCAGCCAAGGCGGGGGTTTGTATGGCAACATTTTTTTACATGAATCTGAGCCCAGAGCCCTGCGCAGCACTCTGACCTGAGCTGGACTTACATCTGTGTCAGAGCCGACAAGGCCAGCAGTGTTTGGGGAAAGAGCAGAACGAGGCATGGCTGTCAGACATGCAGCTGAAAGGATGAAAAGCCAAAAGGGGCGTGTGACTTGTTTCTGTTGTGTGATGCAAAGAGTAAAACAAAGCTGCTTTGAAAATGACTGTCAGGCAAAGGAGGGTCTAAAACTGTGGCTCTCAGTATGTGTCTGAGAAAACACACGAGAGGGAACGCTGCATGGTTTCAAACAGCGATGGGCAAAATGGAGATCCTTTGTGCTAAATATGCATTTGAATTCCCTGTTTTATTACTTTTTTTTATTATTATTCCAATTGCATGTCCACTAAATATCATCTTGTGGGTTCCAAACATGAGTCTAGGGGCATGTTGCATAGTTTTGCAGCAAAATGATCGTAAAAAAAAAAAGAAGAAGAAAGAAATACAACCACCTTTCATTCAAACCATGTGTTGGATTATGAAAGTATGAGAAAGCATGACTATCTCCCTGAAAAATGAAAAAGGGAAAAAATGACACACCACTTCTAACCTTGAGCATTTCGATCTCTGAGGATCTTGTGAATCCAGCTTGTAATAATTAGCATTAAAATGTGCTTAAAGCCTGTGAAAGGGTGTGCTTCTAATTTGTTTGTGCTGAGCTAAAAAAAAATCTTTTATCTAGAGAAGAGCATGCAGAGTCTTTTTTCACATGGCTGCCCTTCATATTTAAGTTGTATATGTATTTATTGCATGCTTTTAAGACACAGCAACAGCCTGTCGAGGAATGTCCAGCACAACAACAACAACAACAACAACAACAACAACAGAAGAAGAAGAAGAAGAAAAAAAATTAGGCCCAGTCCTCGGAGACACTGAGCACAGTGACGCTTCCATCGACCAAATGAAACGCGCAGCATTCCTCTCTGATTAGTAATACTGGATTCCTGACTAGTTGGCCTCCTCGCTCCTCTGTTGGATTTTGTTGGATTTGAGATCATCTGTGCAGCCTTTTGCTGCAGGATCTACGCTGCCTCTGTGACCAGCATGACAACACTCACACAGAGAGAGAGAGAGAGAGAGAGAGAGAGAGAGAGAGAGAGAGAGAGGGGGGAGGGGGGAGCTCGGCAAAGTTGGGTCTCTTGCACCCAGTCAGGCCATTTATTTATTTCCTGCACTACACTGGGCTGTTGTTGTCTGAGGCCTTTTGGGAAAACCCCAAATTGCAGTGTAGCCACATCATTATTGTTAACTTTATTTAGCTTCTGAGTGTAGCAACCTCTGCGTTATCCTGCAGAGGACGCCGGGTTGTTATCTTGTGACGCATCCCCGTTAAATAATGTGTGACAGAATTGGCCCACATCCACCTTTCCACCTGGTTATTTCCACACAATGACTAAAGCAGCCTCGTCCTCGTCCTCTCAGGAAGCGTCACCACTTACAGCGCCGGCTCAGATGTCTCTGGGTGACTCCGGATATTTGGACGACTGCCTCCTTTTCACCCTGCAGACTGTAAATAATGTTTGTCCCTAGTTCCTGGAGAAATGAAGAGCTGCTGTTTTGAGTTCATCCAAATCTCAACATTCAAAGCTTATATTTTACGACTAGGTAGATCTTCCAACCCTAACAAATCACTTACTTTACCTACATTTCTTTAAAATCGACTACATTTTGCTCTATTAAAGAGTAAGTGCCACTTGGAGCAGTGCTGTTTCCACATTTCTACTCTTGGTGGGAAAGCGATGTCATTCCTCGGGTCCTCCCATCATTTTAAGCTCGGGCAGGCAAACAGTCAATTTTGTTTTTATCTCCTTTTTTTTTTCCTCTTCTTCTTTTTTTTTTCTCTGGCATTGCCAAGGAAGTAATTAGACGGGGAAAATTGTGGCACAGAGGAACAGCAGCAGATCCTCTTCCTCCCAGCTGTCATCTACAACACTCTCCCCCTTTTAACGATTCCATATCAAACCATCATATTTAATAAGGCCCCTGTAAACACTTCCTCTTTCCTACTCCTCAGATTGAAGTTTCGCCCAACATCAAATGAAAGGTTCAAGTGTCCTATATTGCAGTTAATATGCTTCTTTTTACTGACTGTGTACTGGGATTTGCATAGTTTGTCCTTTGTTGATTTATTGAATCACAGCGGATAGTGCGGCTCCATGACAGTGGGCTCACACAGGCCTCTTTATATGATAATGCAGGATCCCGGAGGTTTTTAATAGAGCTGAGGAGTGGAATAGTCTTGCATAATTTTCCCATAAAAGGCTGACACAGCTGCCGTTTCTCCGTCCTGTCCTCCTCGCTGCTGATATCCAGCGCTCTCCTTTTAGCCGCCAGGCCCCGATCAGGAGCGAGACATTTCTCAGGTGTTGCAGCCTAATCTATTTTCTAAACTTGACAGAGCTGATAACGGCCAGGACTTGATGTATTTATTCTTGCCCCTCAAGCGATAATGTACCCATTTCATTTTTCTTTTTTTCTTTCTTTCTTTCTTTCTTTCTCATCCTCCAGATATTAAAGCGATCGTGCACAGAGATTCTGAGCGTGGAGCCCTCCAGTATCTGTGTGAATGGTGAGTGGATCCTCCTGCTACAGTCAGTCCCCGGAGCTCTGCACAGCTAGATTTATCCTCTGCAGGAATCCCTCTTTTTACTGCGTGCTCGCCGAACTTAAGACATCTTTCCAAGAGTAATTGGAAAGATGTCTCAGTTTCAGGCAGTGGGGAGGGAGCCAGTCTGCTTTGCGATAAGGAGTAGCTCAATGTGGCTCGTTGTAAATCTTCCGACAGCACGTAGGCCGTCGGAAGACTCTCAAACTCACCACTGAACCTCAGAAAATCAAAATTATTTAAGGTTTTACAGCTTTTTAGCCCTTTTAACACCTTAAATCAGAGGCTTTTTGGCTTGTGCTTCTTCGAAATGAAGAAGCGTCTGCTTGTGACAGCTCATCACTGGCTCTCAAAACATGAGTTGTGAGAAGTCGAGCTGCAAGTTTCAAGTTTCCACTGGAACCACTGGCCCCCTGAATGTGAAGCTAATAACTCAAGATCTGTGAGGGGCCACATTCATGGCTGTGGTTCACTTCAATTCAACTCAGTTTTTATTTTATTTTTTATAGCGCCAAATCAAAACATACATACCTATTCAATATTATAGAGCAGAACCCCAACAGTCCCCACAATGAGCAAACACGGCGACGACAGCAAGAAACCTCCGACAGAACCGGACCCGGGGCCGGCGGCTGTCTGCCTCGACCGGTTGGGCTGAGAGGAGAAAGAGGGAGAGAGAGAGAGAACAGCTGTATATATCATCTGAAAAGCGACACATTAAAGTTCCCTCCGGATGTAGTTTTCATCTGGTTGCGCAAAACACAGCGCAATTTACAGAAGGTCAAACTGTTTTAACAGCGTGTGAATGTTGTATGTGGCGCTAAATTGTTACAAAATAGGCCATGTTTAACTTTATTGACTTATCAAAATCATGAACATGAACATTCATGTTCACAGATGCAGCTTTTTACAAACCGATGTCCCTGCTGATGATATTCACTGAGTTTTCTCTTAAAGAAGTCGAGTGGTTTATTGACATGACTGGGGTGTGATGTCTCAAAGTGTCTTTTTAAATTGTTGAGTTTTCAGACAAAAAAAGACACACGGGTCTCTCTTCATCTCCGACCACATTCACTGTGAACCCAAGAGCAAGAATGGCTTCGTCATATTTTCTTGACTTGGCTTTTTGTCGGTTACCGCCAGCTGAGCGCGTTGTGTTGCTGGTCTCAGAAGCATCGCTTGTTTTTCTTTTCGTCCCTGTCAAATATCTCTCCATTCTGAAAACCAACAGCCCTGAATGCAGTTGCTATGAAAGGCAGGTGAAAGCACGTTTTTTTTTATGGTTCCACCGTGAAAAACATTCAGACGTCCAAACATTAGTCCCCCCCCCTCCCCCTTTTCCCCCTGGGATGCCTCCGCGCCCCCCTAGGGGAGGAAACCCTAAATATATGTGGGCCCCCGGCTCCCGCTCTTATCTCTCCTGTTTGTTTACATTCCACAGAGTCCTTCGACATCGTCCTCAGAGGGAACGGCTTCGCCATCGGCCGCAGCAACGAAGGCGTCGTCTGCAGCTTCATAGTCAACCAGCAAACCTTCAGTAAGTGTAGCGACCGCAGTTCACTGTGTACTCATCCCCAGCCGCAGGGCTCGACTCAGATCAGACTCCGTTTGCTTAAAATGTCCATTCAACACAGTCGAACTGGAATATGTGGGTGTTGTTTTGACGATAAATAAACCAGAACATTTTAGGGAACCAGTAGTGTGGAGGATGACAACAACTTGATTGGTATTTGTGGAGATGCTTGAAGTGATGTCGTGCAGCTGTGATGGGTTTGATTTTTTTCACGATGAATGTATTTTGTTTACATTATAAGTTGCTGCCGTCAGATCATGAAGTGTCCTAAAGTTAGAAGTAAGTCACGAAAGGGGAAGTCCAAAATATTCAATACAAAAAAAGCAAAAAAACAAAGTGAAAGCTGAGAGGAACCATTTTAACTTGCTCTCTGTGAAGCAGGATCACATGCCTCTGTCCACAACCTGCTGTATTCTTCCTTTATACAACTGCAGTCTGCGATCCCAGCACATGTTTGTTTCTGTTCAGATAGGTTCAGAATCTAAACTCAAGGCCCACTTACTCGCATTTCCTGAAGCTACAAGCCACCATCTCACGGTTGAAAGCTAAGACAAAGCTTAATTAAGTTGAATTTGACTGTAGGTTTCTGAAAAATAAACTTTACCCTGTGTTGTTTGGGCACAAGCTACTTCCGCACCGGGGCCACTGAAAACTCAGTAAACTGTCCTCGGTGAAACTGCGCTGTGTGCCGCATCCTGTGATAGTCGCCCTCCAATCTGATTGAAAGTTTTCCCCAGAGCCACAAACGTGCTAACTTGCAGAATCAGACCCTCCACATCCCCCCACCCCCAGCGGCTCTGATCTGTGAATGTTCCTTACATGTTCATGTCTCTACGGGAACTATGAAGATTTATTCGTATAACTCAGGAAATCTTCTTCTTCTTCTTCTTCTTCTTCTTCTTCTTCTGTTCTTCTTCTTCTTCTTCTTCTTCTTCTGATGATGATGATAGTCGGTGCTCTGAGGTCGTGTATGTCCAAGCAAAGCCCCCGATCTGGACAACGTCTGTTATCTCACAGCAGCTTCCTTATCTACATCGTTTAAATCCGGCAGAAGAAAGGAGGCTATGTAGGTCACTGTGCTCCTTATTTTGAGTTTGCAGTCTGTTCTGTTGAAAAAAAAGAAAAAAGAAAAAAGAAATCCTTTTTCAGGAAGCAAACAGGATTTGGCACCGAGAGCCCGTCTTTTCAAGCTCTCATTTGGCCGTGGGATCTGCGGGATCGATGACTGCCAATGACAACACTTCCCTCTTTGACAAGTTATTTTTTGATTTTATTTTTATTTATTTTTTTCATCATTTCATCTTGACTAAAATACTTGAGCATATTTTTTTTCCTGTTTAAAAAAAAAAAAAAAAAAAACTCCGTCTGAATCAGGAAGTGGCCATTAGCAGATGTCTCCCTGTTAGTCCTTTCTCAGTTTAGGCTGTCTCACATTTGCCCACTTGGGGCTATTTATTCCCTCGTTGGCTTTTGCATGTGTTCAGTCCAGACCTTTTTAACAGTGAGGCCACCTTATAATTATGGACAGGCATCATGGCGACTATGGAACACAGAGCACATATGTGGAACAGATGCTACAGTTTTCATCTCCATCACTAAACCAGTTGGAGCCCCGAGCAGAAAAAATAAAAATAAAAAATTTATCAATAATCTGAATGACCTCCAGGGCTGAGGATTGGTTCAGGCTGCTATCAACCTGAGCTGATGAACACACACACACACACACACACACACACACACACATCTCAGTGTAGTTTTACATCTCCTCTCTCAGGCTTCTCTCTGGAGCTCTAGTAACAACAGGTCAGTGAGCCAATCAGAAGAGAGGAGGCTCTGAGCCTCTCTCCTGATTGGCTGACTGTTTTCTGAAATAAGAATATAGCAGATTTCAGGTAAAAAAAAAAACTCAGAGAAACCAAATCCTGCAAATGTTTGGATGGTGGGTCCAGGTGGGCGGGGCTTGGTGACTGCTTTGTTGTGACATCACAAAGTTCCAGAAGTCCTGACGGCTGGTTTTAAGGCTCAGTTTCTGAATACAGGCTGTGTGCATTTCTCTGTGGACTGAGGCTTTGATACTTTCACAGTATTAATATAGAAGCTAGACCTGATCTATAATCAAACTACACATGGACAGAGACCTGAAGACTATATGGCACCTTTTAATATGATACTTCAAAAAGACATGAAGTTTACAAAATAACTGATTTAGTTTAGAAAGAAATTGATATGATGTATAATGTTCAAGAGGACAAGGGTTCATAGAAGGTTTGTTGGGATATTGTTCTCTGGGAATGAAAAAGTTCCTTGATTAAAAACTGAGTTAATAATATGTGAAAATGGCTCATCATAATTGAAATTTTATTCAATATAAAACAATGTTCAGAAGGTTTGGGTTAAGTAAGTATTTATTTCATAATAAAACAAGTAAGTATGAAGTAAAGTTTGATGGTAACGTAATTTACATCACACGTCCTGATGCAGTACTTATCAAGAACAAATCCTGACTCGAGAATCATGGGAAATGTAGGAGAATTCTCTGTGGCATTATCCTGTTATACTGCATTTGCTCATTTATCATAAAAGCAAACGACGATCATCTGTTTGAAGAGAAAAAACAAACTCCACAGACTGATAAAAAGAGAGATGAGAGTTTTTTTATCCGAGTTGTGCAAGTAGTTTATTAATGTTTTGTCTTTTTTTTTTTTGATTGTTTTTGCAGATCAAAAGCCGAGCGTAGTGCGTAATGATTATCTGCTGTGTCCTGCACCGAAGCTCTATGAAGTGGGACAGTGAGTACACACTGGGGTTTCTGTTGGGAGGAAGTGATTGTGTTTATTTAAAGTCAAATATGAGTCACTGTCAGATACTGGCCAGTCTTTAACGAAGGGCATATTGTTAGTAAGTAGTCATGAACAATACTGAACTCTGAAAACTGTTGAGTGTTTGTGTAGATGCATTTAAGTTTTGACCCCCAGGACGTGGACAACAAGAGACGTGTGACAGTTAAATCACAGGCGTTTTCCTCTGTGAGCTCAGTAAATCCAGCGTCTAGAAATAAATCAAATCTAAAAAAAAAAGACAGTGAAGAAAAGAAATGCAGCGCTGTGTTTGGGGTCAGGTTGTAGTGTTTTGCTCCCAGCTGCGTCGAGAATGAATCATGTCTTTCATCTTCTTCTGTGGAACCACACGCATGCACACACACACGCATGCACACACACACGCAAACACACGCAAACACACACACACTCACACACACTCACACACACACACACACACACTCAAACACTCACAGATATTTCCTGTATTTAAATTGCCACCAAGACTCTTTCAAAAACCAGCTTGTTTCCCTTTTTTCTCCAGGCGTTGTTTCCTTTTCGAGCTCCTCTCCTCCGTGTTCAGTTCAGTTGCAGAGTTGTTTTTTATTTATTTATTTATTTATATATCTCTCTCTCCCTCTTACATTTATCTAAGATGCTTCAATCCTCTGGGTTCCTCTGGGGTCTTACGTGCATTACATTACATTATGTCGTCTGCTGCTTTTATAGAATGTCTTCTATGTGCAGATAAACAATTCCTAAATCTATAAATCGCCTGTATGTTAAAACAGTAGCTGAGGGGATGAGGAGTTCGGTGGAGCGTAAAGACGCAGTAAACATTGTAGATGTAGCCTGACAGGAAAAAACAACCCATACATACATACCCACAAAGATTCAAGTGGAAACAAGTGTAAATATGCGTTTATTCCCGGCTGCGTCGCTATTGTTTGACTGTAACGTCATCTCTTTTAATCCCAAACCATAACAGATGATCGCTAAGGCATGTTAGATGGAACAACAGATTTTCATGTCCTCGCCGACTGCAATCCAATCAAAAATGTATGATTACGAGCGCCGCTGGCTCCTGAAGGTCCTCCAGCTCTAAAACAGATTACGTGTCATCGCTGTAACTGCTCCAAATCAACTTGAACCTCACCTCAGATAATCCGCTCAGTTTTTAAAGTCCAAACTGCTCAGGGTGATCAGGGTGTTTTTTTTTGTTTTGTTTTGTTTTTTTCTGCTGCTGACGGTGGAACGTGGCTCATGTGCGTTCATGTTTTTTTTTCTCCACGGCGGCGACAACCAGGGCTGCAGGCATTATGTTTTCAGGTTGTCCCTCCACCGCCTCTGTGTGTTCATCCCATTCTCTTGAGCACGATATCTCAGCAACACCTTTTTAGGGAATGTCTTCAAATTTTCATTTCAAAGGTCGGACCTCACAAAACATGTTTTTGGCCTCATGGAAGCGACGTCTCAGGGATTCATTGATCCGTTGCTTCCTGATTTGAGTCGACCGTCTTCACTTCCTCTCCCTGGATCAGAACCAGGTCGGGGTCAGCCCTCTGAACGCTGCTGTAATAATCGTCTCCGAAGTGAAGACAACATATTCTCTCTTAAAACGATTCACCAAATCAAACCATGTCAATATAAAAGAAGTTCTTTGCCAAAAAAAGAAAAGACAGGTAATATCTTTAATTAAATTCCCTGTAAAGTCCTCACACATGTCTGGACAAACATGCATGTAAACTGCACCTGGACTGTTTTGGCAGAGGCGGTAATTATAGTTCCTGTTTTCATCTCAAAACAATGAAAATGTGAACATTAAATACACTTGGCATAGATTCACAGCACACACACACACACACACATACACACAGAGACTCCATGTGTGGATAAACATGAGTGGATTAACACACATAGTTGCACACATGCATATAAACTGACACACACAGGCTGTTTCGTCTGCTCAGGTCTTTTATTTATTCATTTGATTCGTTGTTTTACTTTCAATTTAGGTGTCGGCTGAAAATGCAGTTGAGCTCATGTTTACCTGTGCAGTTAATTATGATTATCATTTACTCCATTAAATGTTAAAATGCCAGAGTGACATCTTAACATTCCGCGTTTTGTTTGACAGTTGAGATTTCAACTTAAAATTATATAAAACAAAGATAACTAGAAAATCCTCACATTTTAGAAGCTTTTTGTTGTTTAATTGTGTTAATTTTTTTCAATTCTAAAAATAGTTGGCAATTAATTTTCCATTTATTGATAAATAATTTTCGCATTAAAATAGAATTAAATGGATTTCTTTACATCGCAGGATTGATTATACTACTTTTTTCATGAAGTCCTGAACAAAAGTCCAATTTTCATGTGTTTTTTGATGAAGATCTACATTTTAAAGCAAATTTTACTTTTTTTCTTTTCTTCCACCTTCACCTGATTTTCCTCAGTTATCAAAGAAAAGAAAATGCTGAATATTAACTACAGGTGACACAAGCAGCAACTGCAGAAGTCCTTGTTCCTTGTTCCTGAATAAAATCCAGCAGAGCAAAACGTAATCTCTTGTCTTTCAACCCACCTGCCCATGTTACAGTAAAAAGATTAACTTGAGCTTGACTACATCTGTAAACCACGGGCCGACAGCGCCGGCTTCGCCCTGATAGGACCTGAGCTGATGCTACGTGCCCGCCATTTGCAAAAGGCCTGCTTAATTAACTCTTGGCTGCCAGTGGTGACCCATTAAGTAGTTAGCTGGTACGGGTGGTGAGTAAACACATCTGTTGGAGGGGCTTTAAAAGGATGTGCGACAGATGCAGCCATTCCCTTTTCCACGCTCCCCATTTAAATAATTCACCATGCACTGACAATCCCTGCACCCCGGACCACCTGCATGGAACGCTGGAGCCCGGAAACTTCCGTCTCCGTCCATCTGTCTGCTTCTGCTCCATCACGACTACCGGCGCACAGGGCGCTGCGTTAACACAGCTCTAGTCAGCCGAAGAAGAATCCCCTTTTCATCACACGTCCCTTCTCTTGTTTCCTCCTTTTTAACCGTGTCTGTGACACATGGGGCCTCCTCCTCCTCCTCCTCCTCCTCCTCCTCGGCGAACGCTGTTTGAACTTCTGTCTTGACCTCACAGACGTGAATTGCTGAGGGACATATTTCAAATGCAGCAATCACTCGAGCTGAGGGAAGCTGCAGCCTCCCGTCCCACCGGGGGCTCGGAGCAGGCGGCTCCACATCCAGGCTGGATGTCCAGGAATCACAGTGTCCTCAGTTGGTCATTGAGCTGTGTAGGAGCACTCACGGAGAGGCATCATCTGTGCTGACAGCTGTGGCATCAGGCTTGAAACGCTGGCATCTGCTGATGCCTTTCCTTCCCTCCCCACCCGGCTCCCTCCTCCCCTCCTTCTCCCCCCCACCCTCCCCTCTATGTGTATCTCCCATTATGAGACCCAGCATCCCCTGCTGGGGCGCCGATAGAGAGGTTAAGTGACTGCGCTCTTGCAGCAGCATGTCCTCACCTGGTGTTTTCACAATAATGGTGGAGGGCGAGGAATAACTGAGCGGGGAGTCGACACCTGCTTTACAAAGCAGGTTACAGTAGCTAATGCTAATGCTCGTCAATAATTAAACAGGCCGTCCCACAGCCGCATCGCTCCATCTGCTCCGTTGGGGATGTGAAGATGTTTGTGATAGAAATGTCCTGTTGTTTGATTGTCCTCCATGTGGCACAGACATGTTGGATGTGCATTGCTTTGTTGTCACATGATGGAGCTGGAAGCGGCTCTTGGATTGAAGGACGGAGCGAGCAGCGAGTCAGCTTTAGATCTTCGATGTACAACATCAGATGATTGAAACTTGCTCTTGAAAATGTATCAGCGAATTGCTTGATTTATTATAATGGTGATGACAATGCACTTTATTTATCAGCACCTTTCAGGGAACTCAAGAACACCTTACTTATAAAAACAACCATGAGAACATTAATTAACGCTAATCTCAATCTACATTGTTTTTACAGGATAATCACATTGACAAAAAATAATTATGACTTGCGCAACCCAAGTAAATCAGATAAATGATGCATTAATAAAGAAATGAATAGAAATAAATGGCTACCTGGATTGGTAAGAAGTAAGTGTTGGAAACACACTGAAGTTTCCAGCTGCTGTGCCAGAAAACCGTCAGTTTATCGTAATTTTGAACCATCAGGCGGTTTGTTGGAGTGCATGTCGCTCTTTCCGAACGGTTGACGTCTCACTCTGGAACACAACTTCTCATCTGGTCCCGGGGCTCCGCGAGGCGAATCCCCTCCCATCAGCCCTCGTTTCCTTCCATCCGTCAGAACTTCAGCGGCACAAACTCGTGCAGAGTGATGGCTCCTGGATGCCGAGCGACAGGCCTCGCATATGCTCCGCTGTGAATTATTCAGCCTCCTCAATTTCCACATCTTTAAGGGAAGTTTGAAAGCCATTAGCGTCACCATTGTCAGCCTCTCCAGCTGTATCGCATCACCAAAGCTTAGTGTCACCGTGGGCCTACTTTCTGACGGATCCCTGACGCCGGGAACTTCTCGTCAGCACACACGACTATGTTGCAGACGGCTCCGCAACCTATGGTCACTCCAGCGAGGTTGCCATAGAAGGCAAGGCCCCCCCCCCCCCCCCCGACGCGGTGCCACAGAACGGCAGCAGCGAAGAAGCTTTCTGCCATTCAACTGGTGTCCCTGGGAGCCCGTGTCGCTCTTCTGACCAAATTTTGACTGATCCCTCGGCCCCCCGTGACGATCTGCCCTCCCGTCTCCCATTTACTCCAACATAACCGCCGACCCGCCGAGCAGCTGCAGCTCCCTCCTCAGTGTCACTCACTGGCGTTGACTGCGCTAAAGTCAAATGACAGGGAGTGTTACTTTAAATTATTCATCCAGCTTTTTAAAAAAGTCATTCAGTCGCACTTTTTAACCCTTGGTAACATTCAGTGCAGATTAATTAAAGTTATAAAACATAACTTTTCTACATTAAAATGTCTAAAGAACGACTCGATCTATGTCTATATATTTTGTTGAGTTGTGAACTTACATTATCCCAAAGGTTTCCATCAATTTTCAAACTGATTTTAATCATGTTAACGCGCCGTTTCATTGGGTTGCCTGTCAATGACGTCATATCCTCCTATGCACATGCGTATCAAGCTCAAAATGCACTTTTATCCAGCCTAAGGTCACATTTTTAAGATATACTTTTTACACTTTGGTCATTTTCAACCACTGTATATATTTATCTTCACTTATCAGAGTAAATGTTCGACAGCTCAGCTCCCAGCCGCTGGAGACGTTGTGTCCTGTGTCCGCCGGAGAGCATCAGTGAATCACTGATTTTTTCTCCATGGCAGATGATTCTGGTTTTAATCCCCTGGTCTGTTTGTTAAGGAGAGGAGGAAACCTCTGCAGATAATTCGGCTGCCAGTAAAAAACCCTCTGAACATCTGGTTCATAAGTTATCAGAGAAACAATCGAAACAAAGGTTAGCAGCGATCTCAGCTTCCAGCCCTTCCCCTTCGACGTCTTGTCGTCCGCCGTACGGCGTCGGCGAAACACTGGCTTTCAATGTGAAACAGCTTTATTTCACCAGTTATTATCACCTGGTGTGTTTTGTCGTGGAGAGGAGGAGACCTCTGTGGATAATTCAGCTGCTGGTAGAGACCCCTAGCTGCAGGGGTGTTTAATTCAACAGTGAAGAAACCCTCATGAGTTCACGGGACTCGGGATGTCTTGTGAAATTTTACCACTGGTCTTTTTTTATCCTGACAGAAACAGAATCATGGGGGATTAATTCCCCTGTTGAGTGACCACTAGACTGACTAAACATTTCATCACTAATTTTAATACAGCAACGGTATTAGATGTTGTCATTCTTTTGGGTAATATTCCTGGAAATAAAAGGGTGAAAAAGAGAAGAGGATATATGACTTATGCCTCTGTGCGGGAGCAGATTCTGCCTACTCAACATTAACTCGCTAAATTAGCAGTCAGTGTCTCAAGGAGAAAGAGAGAGAGAGAGAGAGACAGAGAGGAGAAAAAAAGAAAGGCCTTGCTGGCTGGTTGGGTCGTGGTGCGTTAAGGATGTCCAGCGATGTCAGGCGAGGGGAGGGGAAGGGAGGGGAGGGGGGGGTGCGGGTGGGCGTTCGTCAGTCTAACTCGCTTGGGAGCTTTCCTCCTTCACACGCCGGGGTCCACACCTCCAGCTTGATTAACAACCTGCCCACCATTATCACGGATTGAGGGTGTCAACTGAATTAGCCTCTCCCTTCACCCGTTCAGCACAAAGCACTTAGTTAACATGCAAGGACCTGGAGCGGCTTCGCTGAGCTGCAGAGGCGCGCCGCGTTTTAAGGGATCTGCTGCATCGGACACAAAGAGAAGGTTTTTCTGACAGGTGAAAAGAGTTTTTGTAACTCTTGCGGAGCTGTCATGTGCCGTGCATTCGTTTAACGTTCATGCAGAAGACAAACATTTCAAGTAATGCTTTCAGTACACATCCGAAGCTCCGGATTCAGCTGCTGTGCACCATTTTTTAAAAGGAATGAGCTTCCAAACAGCCCCCAAACTTTGGTTCCTCTTGGAGATTTCGGAGGTTTATAATGTGATATATTTCTGCTCTTTTTGTTCCTGGAGCGCTGCCGGTCTGACTTGACATTTGTGTCGTCTGCACAACTGTCAGATTGAAAATGTTTTGTGTTCTTGGGTTTCTGTCAGTGGTTCAGGATCCCTGTCCCTACAGTAGTGCTCTGGGAGTAGATGGACTGCACTTATATAGCGTTTTTCTTATCTTATCAACCCCTCAAAGCAATTTGCAGTACTCGCCACAGGGTGTTTTAATTCAGATTTCAGTATCTTTGCCCAAAGACACTTTGAAATGCGGGACTGGAGGAGCCGGGGATCGAACCCCTCGACCTCCCGAGCCACAGCCTCCCACCCGAGTGTCACCTGAAATTCAAAAACCTTACACCTCACGAGCATGAGTTAAAAGACACTTTGTTTTCAGTGAGACTTCCTGATTCGAATAAGTTGGTTACAGAGAGGAAGAAATAATAAAATAAGACTGTATAAAATAATAAGCAAATAAAGTGGAGGCATCAACAAGTCCGAGTGTCAAAGTGCATCTGGTTTTTAAAGTTGTCTTTTTAAATATTTAGCGTGGGTAAATAAGGAAAAGTGCAAAGGAGTCAGTTCAGACTATTTAGAATACGCCGCATAGTAATGGACACATGGTCTGGTTGCTCATCTGTTCTGAACCACGGGAGGATTGGTGGCCCAAGGCTCTGCCTCAGGCGAAATCCAAAGCAAAGAGAGCTCTCTTGTTATTATTCCGCAGCACCAGTTTTTATGCAGGCCTCCCCTGTACGCTACCACACACTCACAGCTGGCCCCTCACACACAATACCACTCTGCGTACTTCTTTCTCTCCTCTCTCTGTCTTTTTTCTGTCTTTTTTCTCTGTGTGTGTGTGTGTGTGTGTGTGTGTGTGTGTGTGTGTGTGTGTTGAAGGGAGGATTTCAGGCGTTTCACTTGTTCCATATCCTGAATTCTCATTAAACTTGTGGTAATTGGATTGGGCGTAATAGACATATGGAGATTGCGGTGCCGTTCATCATTAGGGTTTTTAATTGCACCCATTTTGGCCTTCGCAGGTCCCCCCCCCCCCTCTAAATAAGTCATAGGAGTTCACGAGCCTTGTTACCGCCAGTCCGATTACTTCATCCAGACACGCGCTGACGGCCGTGATAATGAGAGGATTTCCTCCCTCTCAGTTTGCAGCCATTGTGTTCTTCAGTGAGCGTCGTGCCGGACTTCTTACTCCTCTTTAAACAGGATTTGCCGCTGAAACAATACCATTTAGCTCTCTATTCTGTCACTGGAAGTCATGAGTTTTGCCCCATATATATACTGTAGGTAGATACTGATACTAATGCCAACACATCAGCAGATGTTCCTTTTTTTTTTTTTTTTAATGTAACTCATAATTTGAGTAGTTAAAGATCTCTACTGAAAGCTGCATGATTGACAGCCTGCGTCCACCGATGTTGGACACCGACGACGTCTGTATCCGGTGGAAAAAGCAGTGCGCCATTTTCTTTTTGTCTTCCAGTTCAAATAAAAACACCTAGAGACTGCCAAAAAATGTAAGAAAAGATATCAGCTGAGGACTTTTCCTATCAAAGACGACAGTAAATTCTAACACAGTAAACTTCACTAGCAATTAGATTATAAATCATGTTTGACAGTATTTCTTTTGAGATTATTTTGGCGCACCTGAGGATCAGTTGTCTATCAGATGGAGAGATGTGCTCTTAGGTTTGTCCAGGGTTTTATGGAGGGGGAGGGGTGATAACTGTCGATTGAGCAGACTTGTATTTACCGTGACACTGATCAAACGTTGTCTTTCTCAGGACGATGGACGTTCTCATCAGCCTCAACAACGGCAAGTCCTTCATCTCCAGCGCCTACACCATCACCGCGTCCACCTGTGTGAGTCTTGTGTTTTTCTACCTGCACACCTGAGCTTCCTCCCTCAGTAGTAGTTAATGCAAACTACAACATATTTTTGTAATTTTATTTGCCCCCACATGTGTGCATGCAAAAGAGATGTGGATTTGAATTCTCCACATACGAGGAACAGTTGTCGGGATAGCGGTGATGATTGATTGTATGACGTTGTCGTTGTGTCCGAGGAATCAAAACCAAACCAACGTTCATAATTAGGATGTAGCCTAAAAAAAAAATTGATTCCTGTTGTCACCCCCCCCTACAGTCGAATGGTCTGGCGGTGGCGATCGTCTTCCTGGTGCTGCTGATCCTCGTGGCTCTGGCCCTCATGTGGTGGTTCTGGCCTCTCTGCTGCACGGTGGTGAGTGTTACTGCAGATCAGCTCGGTGCAACCCGGAGATGATGATTCATTTATGTTGGTTTTGCACAGACAAAACATGCAAAACAAGTCATATGTTTCCAGTTTCGCTATTTCCAAAAATAGTAGAAGTAATACTCCCTCGCAAAATTTTTTAAAAAATCAGTTGCATTAAGAGCAGATGTTGTGAAAGCACTAAATATCTTCTCACTGTTGCAAACATCCTGTTGTTGCAAATGCAGCTTGTGTTCAACTGAGACTGGGGTTTTTATACTGAAATTGTCGTTGTGACAAGAGGTTCAGCGCACGTCAAGTTCACGCCCATTCCAACAGCCCAAAGCCGTGACCATAAACCACTGTTAACCAGCAGGTCAGGTCAGGTGTAGCTGCGTCGTGTTCAGCGGCCGGCGGTGAAGGGGAAGAAGGTTTGTTGAGCATCTGTTCAACCTCGTGACCTCACTTTTACCTCGATCACCCACGGTGGCTTAGCAACACCACAGAGGAAGAACCTCAAACAGGAAGTCGAGAGCCCACATCCTCTGTGTAGATGGTGACGGCTTGTGATCACACACACACCAACACACACACACACACTCACACAAGAGTTCTGAAAAGAGACAGAGTCGTTTCATGTGAACAAAACTACGTTTAAAAACAAAACAAGGCAGAGATCAGCAGGAGAGGCGCGTGAGTGACAGATTGCAGGAACGTTAAGAAAATCTCTGTTTGAGCAGGACTAATATGAGGCTTACCTGGGGACTGAAGTGATTAATAATAATCACAGAGATTGTTTGTGGTTTAATCACAAATGAATCTGCCATGTCCGTGCTCCAGCTTCAAATACTTACTGTTTGGTAAACGCACAATTCTTCTTTTTACTAAAGCTAATCTTATAATCAATCAGAGTGTTAAATTGTTGTTTTTCTTTTTCCTCTTACACCTCCCTGTTATTATTTATTCATTTATTTATTTACTTTACTTTAGTGGTTCTAACTTCTGTCCTAGTTTTGCTTTACTAAATCAAAAATGTACAAAACAAAACTTTATCCCAATCCTAAAAGAATGACTCCTCCCCCGTCCCCATAACAAAGCGTTTTCCTGTTACAGAAAGTAAAAGTTTCATCAGTAACTGCTTCATCACGACAATGTGGGTGTGGTTTGATCAGATTTGACTGATGATCCTGGCAACGTAAGAATCCAACCCACCACCTGTCAGAACCTTTTGATCTTTGATTATCATTAAACCCCTTTTGGTGCACGGAGGTACGTGGAAAAAAAAACTGAAATCTAAATGTAAAATTACCAAAACTAAACTGCTCCAACTTTGAATCTTGACTTCCTGTAGGATCCCAATGGATCCCACACTACAATACATTTTAGACCTACTAAACTTATGGTGGAGTTTCGATTAGAGAGCATCGTTAAGCATCAGTATCGGTGTTGACGAAATCGTAATGATGCCCGTCCCTGCTTATGACGAATCTGAGGCCGGACTTTTGTAAATGCTGAGTAAGAATAAAGGGCTCGGCTGCAATCCTGGAGGCACCAAATCTAAAATCTCGACCGGCGCGGTTGAAAGTTCAGCCGAGAGTTTCATTAGTGAGTGTGAATGTGGAGCTCTGAAGGTTATTCGTTAGTTCGCCACATGTTACTGGGTGTTTGTTAAGGTGGATCTTAAGCCTTGAATCTGCAATTTAAACTCTGAGCTCTTCTTCATTGTTTCCCCTTCAACGACGAGGTCTTTTTTTTATTTTTATTTATTTTTTATTAATTTAATTCATGGTTTTAAACTTTAGTTCGGTGCTTGATATTTATGAAAACTCCCCCGTGCCCTCGCCTCCTTTTTTTTTTTTTGGAAAAGCAGTCTCACCCACTTAACCATTTACAAAAATCCACAACAGATTATCGTTTGGGGCTACGAGCGAGGGGCTGCAGATGGTGCACCCCGGTCTTTTTCTGGTGTTTTATTTTTTTCTACCGGGATCTGATAAAGGCGAAATTCACCCTCCAACATCCAACCGCCCTCCTCTCCCCGCCACACCTCCGCTCCCGCTCCCGCTCCCACTCGCGGCGCCCCTTAAATGATAGACGTCACCTGGCATTGTGGACCTGAAGGGAGCCCATCCAGGATGAGATGGAAGCATATTTTGGAAAACCAACAAAGGCATTAAAATGTAAACCCCCTGCAGCATGTCTGGCCGCGGACGTGTTTGTCTTGGTGGAGAGAGCTGCTGTTGCCTTCCATCGAGGGACGCGGCAGAAGAGGAGGGCCATGTGTGGCTTGTTAATATTTAAACCCCCAGTCTGCCAGGTTTCAGCAGTCAGGATGAGGCCGCGCACACACACACACACACACGCACAACCTCTTTCCCACAATCCCTCTCTCTCTCTCTCTCTCTCTCTCTCTCTCTGTCTCTCTCCCGCATGGCTTGATGCCAGGAGAGAGGTCATACAAGCTGTGAGGGGTAATTTCTTTGTTTATGATTTGTTTGGAAATTAAACTCAGAATTGCGTGGCCTAGAGTTCAAATCAAAGGATTTAGGAGTTGGAGATGCAGTTTTCGGCAACATCGGCACTTCATCCAAATTACAAATGATTCGCCGCTAAATTGGACGCACTTTTGGACACGTTTTCGACTCAGTTGGTGCTTAATATGTTAATAATCTCTGATTACTTCGTGTTAGAAGTTGTCAGCGTTGCTCTCCGATGCAGAACTTTTATCTTCTTCTTCTCAGAATCACTTTTTATTTTTCTCAAAGCAGGTTAACGAGTCCATAGTTAAAAAAAAAACAAACCAAAAAAAACAGAAACACCAATCATTTTTAAATATGCTACTTGCCACTGATCCGTCACGATAAGCCTCCCGAAACAGCTTGACACAACACGGTTTGAGCTGGAGGTTGGGAACGAACAGGATTATCAGGTCCAATCGGACAGTTACCGAGACAGCCATATGGGGACGATGCCCTCGGCTCCTCCGATTGGTCCGATCCCCCTCCCCCTCCCCCTCCTCCCGGTGTCATGGCCGCAGTGGCGAGCTGCTGGGGCTGATGTCAGATGGCTGAGTATCCTGCGGTTTAGTTTTTTAATTACGCCGCCACGTCACTGAGCGCTCCTCCTCACATCTGTCCATCAGGTAGCTGGGAAAAGAGCAGCAGAGCCCCGTCATTTGTATAAATGCTTTATTTATCCCACAATATGTCCAGGAAATCTGCTGCACTTAATAAAAAGAGATAATCCCGTCTACGTAAGGTGTGGCTGAAACGATGTTAATCACCGTATGGAGAGGCTACTGCTAGACCTTTACTGGATTTACTTACAGCCAGTTGTGTGTCAGAAGAGCAATTAATTAACGCTAATTGATTATTTTTCATTATTCTAATGACAACAGTTTGTGGCGGGTGTGATGGTATCCCTGCGCTTAACAGTGAGTGAAACAGCTGTTAGGATCTATGATATGCCCCCCCCCCCCTCCTCCAAAACCAATTTAGCAAATGCATAAGCAGCGATGACAGTGTAGTATCTGTCTTTGGTGACTAATGGACGCAGGTCTGCCTTCCACTTTGCCGCACACCTCAAGTTGAGATATGTCCTCGCAGTAATTATATGCACAGTATTTATAGGCCAGCTCCTCTGTGTGTAGCACCAGAGGGAGGGGGGAGCGAACAGGAAACACTTTTCCTCTGTTATACACCTCGTTTGCATCATCATCGTTTTAATCTTGGGTTAGAATAAACCATTACATGTTATCAGAGCTTCATTTAAATGTCTTCAAATCACAGGCTTTGTCCAAAACCTAAAGATATTTTCTTTTTTACAATGATGATGCCATTTTCATTTGATTTTCCGAGTTCAAATTGATGTTTTGCATAGAAAAAGTGTTGGAATAAGCTTTTAAAAAGGCACCAGATATCGATAACAACATTTATAGGCTATAACCTAACACCCCTACACTCGGAGTTTGACCTGCTTCCGTCTGGCCGTCGACTCATGTCCCCGAGTCTTTTATTCCCTACCCTCTGGTGTTATAACCTATCTGCTGCTACCTGCTCGTTTGCACTCTTGTGTTATTAGATTAGTAGATTTTTTTTTTTTTTTGTACTTTGAGGGAGAAGTCAAAGACAATGAAGTCAGTCAGTCAATGAATAAGTTGCATTACACTTGAATCAGATGATCTTCAGGGAAACGTGAGACGGGACCTCTGTGCTGCGTGGAGCTGCAGCCCTGTGCGGCTCTGTACTGACTATTTACCAGACGATGACTTAAAACCCCCTGAAACCTGAAACCACAGAAGAGTAAACTCCCATCCCTCCAGCGTGATCCCTCTCACAGATGGAGTGAGTGGCAGCGGCGTCTTCGGCAATCCCGTGATAAAAAAAAAAAAAAAAGGAAAAAAAAGTTGGACGTCAGTATTGCGAAGCGTCTGACTGAACTGACAATGCACTGTAGGCGCCACTACACCCCCCCCCCACCTTTTCTCCTCTCCCAACATCCTTTGCTTCGCGATGCACATCTGAAAAACCTAGTCGAGGCATCTTGTCCTTGAGTGGAATCACATTGTGGACAACCTGCTCCTCAGGTGCCATGTCATCCAGTGTTGTCATGAACAATGCCGCTGGGCTGGTCACTCTGCTGTGGGAGAGGTGTGGCGTGATTATGAGTGTGTGTTTTCTTTCTTTTTTTCTCTGTGTGAGTAGATGTGTTTGTGTGTGTGTGTTTGTGTGTTTGTGTGTGTGTGTGTGCGCCGCCACTCATCTTCCACCCAGACAGCGCTTGGAGCTGAGCCCGAGCCTCCTCCTCTGTATCTCATTGGAGCTAATTAACTCCTTAGGACTTTATGATTGGGGGGATTGCTTGGGAGCACTGAACCCCATCCAATTAATTAAGAGCTAAATGGGCAGCAGCGCTCGCCCCAAAGACTCCCCTGTCAACAAGTTGATTTTCAGCTTTTCTTTATTTTGCACGGGGGGCCCCTGATGTTGGTTTACAAGCAGAATCCTTGTAATCAGTAGTCAGCGGGGCGATGGGGCGCCGGTTGCATTCACAAAGCAGCCTGGCAGCGGCGGCGGCGGCAGCGGCGTCTCTGCCGTGAGACGAGCTCAGGGATGTCTCTGTTTGTCTCAGTCACCTGTCACGAATCACCTCCGTCAGCCTTGTCTGGGCTTGTCTTGACAAGGTTTGAGCGTGTGTGTGTGTGTGTGTGTGTGTGTGTGCGTCCCTCCATGGACTTTGTGCTGACGCTCTTTTGCTTTTTCTCTTTATCCAGGTCATCAAAGACCCGCCGCCACCTCCTCCACCTTCCCGTCCTCCACCACCTGTGAGTACTAATGTGGCCTTGTAGAGTTGTGTTGATACGACTGAAAATTAAAGGAACATTTCCACATTCGTATAAACAGCCTCATTAGATGAGACGATTGATTCCACTCTCCTCTTTGTATTACGTTTGAAGCCAGAGCTAGGAGGCGGTTAGCCTAGCTTAGCCTAGCTTAGCATTAACACTGCTGAGGCTGCAACTGACTCTAAAACCGCAGTGAGTCGCTTTTACGTTTCTGTTTGTGAGATTTCTCAAACAAGCGATCACGTGTTAGTCTTTATGCTAAGCTAGGCTAATCACCTCCCAATCTCAGCTTTGTGCTTCACACACAGAGAGATGAGAGTGGTGAGTATATTTCCTAAAATGTTGAACTTTTCTTTTTAAAAAAAGAAAAGAAAAGTTGCAGATGTGTTGTCACGCTGAGAAATTCATTCATCATTGATCCCAAATTGGGAAATTCTCTAAACGGATCTAACTTCTCTGTCATCACATTATGTTTTGGTCTTTAGGATTAAAAATACTGAAGGAAATAATGTTATAAAATCAACTTAGAACCACGTAGAAAGAATCTGCAGCTGGAGCAGAAGTAAGGACACAAGTGTTTCTTCCCTCCTGACACAAGCAGTGTTTTTCCTGCAGGAAGGAAATCCATTCATATATTATTGATTAATGGGATTGCAAGAGAGAACAATAGTGTGAACAGTCCTGCTCTTCCTTCACTTGAAGGTTGATTAATGCAGTTGTTTATAGGATCATAGTTTGTGCGTGATTAAGATAATGGGTCTCTTAATTTCCCTCCGTCTCTCTCTCTCTAAGGAGCCTGAGCCGCTGCCCAAGAAGAAGTGGCCGACTGTGGACGCCTCTTACTACGGAGGAAGAGGAGCCGGAGGGATCAAACGCATGGAGGTAAAGGACCCGACATCGACCACCCGACGAAACGCTTTCACCGCAAAGTGTTTGACGCATGAATCTTCTTGATGTGAAATTATTTGAGCGGCGAATTTGAAAACATCTCATCAGTCAAAATTTCTGAATCTAAAAAGCAAAAGGAAAGACAGGGTTCCTCCAAGACCAGATCAGATTCCTCGACAGCAGGAAGTGATGCGTTTCTGACAGCTGTTATCCAGTAAACCTGCATCGTGGTCAGAGAAACCTGCTGACGCTCAGTCTTTTCTCTGGAGCTAGAAGTTTGTGGAGTTGCACAGGCGGCGGCGGCGGCAGGAGGAGGAGGAGGAGGACGAGGACGACCGGCCATGCCACTGTCCTCGTCAGTCCGCTGATGCCTCCGACGTGACAGGCCCTGCCATCTTGTCCTTGGCCGTCCGGGCCTGATTGGATCAAGTCATTGCCAGGATGAAAGATTGAGCGCTGCTGTCAACTTGACATATCCACCTCACCCGTCTCTCCTCTCCACCTCCCCCTTCTTAACTCCCGAACCTTGGCAGCCCCTTTGTTATCCGCCCCCCCTCCGAGGGGAATCCAGGTTTAAAGGCGAGCTCAGCCTCCTCCTCCTCCTCCCTTTGCTGTTCCACCCCCTGCCGCTTCCCAGCCCCGAGGAAGTTGGTGGCATTGCCGGGATTTCCCAGCATCCTCAGGGAGCTCCTACCTCTCGACTTTATCCCCACGAGCGCTGGCGAGATGCGAGATGCGAGCCCGGGTATCCCGCCTCTCTCTCTTCTTCCTGTAGCAGCTTGATTCCCACCGACAGGCCCGTCTCCACATCTGAAGCTTCACCCCCTCGTGGATGGAGAACAAGGTGCTTGTTAAGAGCAACCTGTTCTCTCCTCTGCTTCCTCATTTAAGACGTCACGCTGAGAAAAACATCCTCCACCTCCAGCGCTTTGCCGCTGCCAATATTTCAAACGTGCGTCGAGCGGGGCCGAGGTGACAACGTTATCTTTTATTCATCGCAGCCCTCTCTTTTCTTGATGATGCGGCAGGCCAGGGATGTATCCCAGAGATGATTCTGAAAAGCTGTTCTATATTGTCACGGCTTAACCTACAGCTTGAAAACTGTGTCGCTAATTAATCACCTCTCCTCATTCATGCGATGGTAGATTTTTATTTATTTATTTATTTATTTTTTTTTTTTTTTTATCTCCTCCTTGCAACAGATGTGATGAATTCAATTAAAAAGCAGGACAGCTTAACTATCACACAGGCCTGCATTCACACACACACACACACACACACACGCTAACACATTATACCACATGTAAATATGCTTATTAATAAAAGAAAAAGCTGGTTCTCAGATCATTTTATTTTCTTATGGATAGATAGTGACAGCAGATGTTCAGCTGCTTTGTTATAATCATCACGATGTGATCCTGAACCACTGCGCTGTTCGGCCTCTTACGGAAGCTCTTTTGTAAACCTACGATGTCGTGACTGGTCTTTAATCAAGGGCTGCAGTTAACAATTATTTTCATTATTGATTAAAGGAAACTCCACCATAAAGGAGTTTGTTACCTCCATGTTTTATCTTAAGTCTTATTGATGAGTTACAAACTTCTTTTGTTTAAAGGATTTTACTTGAGTTTGTTTGTAAAGGTCCAATATAGTCTAAAGGTAGATGTCCATGTGTTGTTTGATTATAGATCAGGTTCTATATTGATACTGTGAAACTATCAAAGCGCTCAGAGAAATGCACACAGCCTGTATTCAGAAACTGAGCCTTAAAACCAGCCGTCAGGACTTCCTGTAACTTTGTGATGTCACAACGAAGCAGTCACCGGGCCTCAAGAGATGGTCTTAGGTTCTTATGGATCAGCACTTCAAAATAAAACACAGGAAAAGTATAAAATGTGGGACCTTTAACTAATCATTGTAGCACCAAGTTAAATTTTTGTATTGATCATTAATGACTAAAAGAGAATAACCCGTTCTCGGCTGTTTGTTTGGTTTTTATTTATCCAGGTGCGCTGGGGTGAAAAGGGCTCAACCGAGGAGGGGGCCAGGCTGGAGAAAGCCAAGAACGCCATAGTGTCCATACCGGAGGACGTGGAAGAGCCAATGATCAAACGTCCTACCCCGAAGGCTGCGCCCTCCTACCATCAGAGAGAGAACAAATGGTACCCTCCCATCAAGGTGAGCCCCCCCCCCCCCCGCTGCACCGGCAAACCACCTGACTGAACAAATACTCATCTGTGTTTGAAATAGTCGTCTGAGCTCAAAGGTTCCACTTCCTGCTGAGAGTGTAGAATTTGAGACAGAGACCATAGATCTGTCATAGATTTGTCCTTCCACGTCATAAAAACCCTCGTGTGTTTTTGTCCTTCCACGTCATTTTTTTTTCTCACCATTTGTGTAAACGTACACGTCGCTGAGATGTAACCCCATTCTCCTCTTGTGTATCAGGGTCGTCTCGATGCTCTGTGGGCTTTGTTGGGGCGGCAGTACGACCGAGTCTCCCTCATGCGTCCCACCACTGCAGACAAGGTAAGCGGATCCCCGACTGTTAACCCTGAAACATGTGCTCGGCTTGACGCTCACAAGATGTTCCCAGTGGAAAATTTCATTTCCAGAAAGGCCTTAAAACACAAACCACACATAGGCGTACAAGGTTTTGGTGGCAGGTTAAGTAAACCAGGAAGGGTGTGGGTGTGGGTGTGTGGGATACAGTAAAAGAGCGTCATTGTATTGTGTTCTTGTTGCACAAAGCTACAGCCTGCAGGGTTGTGAGTCAGTCTCGTCATCGGTGCGGTTTATTTCCTGCATCAGTCAGCAGTGTGCACGTCCTCCTTCTTCTTCTTTTGACCATTAAATGCTCTTCTAAAAAAAGAGTCACCACCATCACAGTTAAGCACTCATTATTTTACTGCTGTATTACGTTGCAGCTGTGATGTTACAACAATCTGTGCGCTCCGTCTCAGCAGAGGAAGCTGCTCAAGGCTCAAGTTTTTTTTTGCATTGTGTTGTTGTTACCTAATCGGGCCGATGTGAGCTGCAGCTGCAACGACTCACAGAGCGGGGAAGCACGACAGAGACGACCTAATATGGTCAAACTCTGGACTTTTCTCAACCTCCCATCAGAGGAGAGGAAAGACATGGGCCCTACAAGCCGACACGCTGAAACCCGACGCCCTGCAGGCGGTCAGGAGGGCGCGCTGCTCCCAAACCGCCACCAAGTCGGAGTTAACCAGATGTTTTGATAGTTTCTTAGCTTTCTAAGGAAGCAAACCGCAACATCTGCTGCGGACACTGAGCTATATGTAATCCTTAATCTCTAAAAGAGTGTCACAGATTGGAATCAGATTGCAGACTTGCAAAGTGATGGTGCATGCAGATTCATTTCAAGACCAGATCCGAGTCCAGAAACATTTGCAGCTCCAATTTAAGGTTTCATCGGCTTCTTCTTATGATGTCACCAAACTTTATACAGGGGTAGTAACTTTATAAACCCCGCCCCCCCCCCCCGTCCCACATTAACGCTGCATATATCTCTCTTTTTTTTGGGAGTTATAAGTGGAACCACATTCACATGCAGCTAACTAAAGGAAGGAAAAATCAAATGTAAAACAACAACTGACAAACTTTTTCCTTTTGTCGCTGAAATACATGGAAAAAGAAAAAAGAGACACATCTGTACAGAGGTCTACTGTATAAATTCACTCCCTCGTGCCTTTTATCCACTGTGGTGGCCACTTCCTCACAGAGGCCTGAGAACTGGAACCATCACAGTCTTTAATGGTTCAGAGAATGATGTCAGACTGCAAATGTCTGGAGTGGAGAAGCGAGCCAGTTGGCCGGCTGCGAGCCTGACAGTTGCTACTCAGGGCGTCATGGCGCCGTTAAACACAATGCCAGAAGATGCACCCTGAAAAAATGAACATCATCAAAACTGTTGAATTTGCTGCTCAGTAAACGTTGATGTGGCAGGTCGAAAGATGTCCAGATATCATTGTTGAAACTAAGATGGGTTTCTGTGTCAGGACATCTTGATGCATAGAGTGCTGCACATTATAGGTCCAGAATGCAGCAGCACATCTGGGCTTCGATCGGCCTAAAAGGGGCGCGCGTGTCGCTCTGCTGCTCTCCGACCTCCACTGACCACCCGCGGCCTTCAGAGTGACTTCTGGTCGGACGTCTGCTCCTTCTCGGCCGCTGCGTTTCCTCCGAGTCACGTCGTCTGGCGTCACCATCCCTGCACACGAGACAATCTGAGCCCGGACTGTTCTGGTCTGTGGTTCCCCCGATGGTGGAACAAGCTCCCTGCGATTTGGATTTTGCATTTGCACTTTCCATTATATTTCGATTAATTGTGCAGCCTACTACTTACTATGCACTTTCAGTGAACTTCTCTACCTGATCTCCCTCCACTTATTGAATGGGTGTACACCAAGGGTTCCTACTGCACTGAAGCTTCAGTGATGTCCCTCACTTGCCAAATGAGTAAATGCAGATGTAGATGTAGTAACTGAATTACTGTCAACAGCAGTTACAGGTAACCTAGATTTTTTTTTTTTTTTTTTAAAACCCACATTAAATGAGGTCAGGCTTTAACTTGGCTAGAAATCAGCCAGACATCTCTTGACCTACAAATCAACAATTCACCACCTTCAATTCTCCAGTCGTCACTGTCCGTCTCAAAAACAACAGCCTGCTTTAACAGTTGTGTGTCCTTTAACTAGTAAGAACTCTCTGGGCAAAAAGGCGTATGATGTGTTTGTTTCACTGCCATGATAAATTGTTAACAGTATGTTAAATGTGCCGGTTCTGTTTGTGTTGTGTTATGAAGCCAGGGGTTTTCATGAAATGTCCGAACTTGCATATTTTCCTGGCACAGCCTTTGTTTTTTATGTTGAAATGACAACTATTCCCCTGCGTGACATTCATCCAACCGTCTGAGTTTTAAGTAGAAAATAAAAATGTGGCAGAATGTGGAAACATCATGGCTGCAGCTCCCACCGTGTAAAAAGATGATAGATGTCGCCACACATGAGGTCACCTCAGCTGCTCCGAGCGAACTGTTTTTTAAAAAAAAATAAAAAATAAAAAGAGTAGAAAACGGGAGGACGGCGCCCACTGGTGAGCAAACCAGTCGTGTCAAAGCACTTGGTTCTCGCCTCATTCACATTCACACCGCCGTGCCAAACTCCACTTTTAAGTCTGTGATGAAGACTGTACGCATCACACACGGGAGGGAATCACACAGGAGGCCACGGATGCGGACGTCTCAGCTCAGACGTAGTGGACAGTGAGTGGAGACTGGATGTTGTTTGTGACAACAAAATGTATTTCTAAGTGAGTTATGATGTTTTTAAATCCCTCCGCTGGCTCACAGTTGGAGGGAAACATCTAAATTATAATTTAATCCAGGTTTTGTTTTGACTTTGATTCCCCCGAGCAAAGATTAAATCCACTATAACACTGATTTGATTCACATTCATTTTGGTTTATTTCACTGCTTCCAGAAAGTGGAACAACTCAGCAAATATAGATTATAAAATGCCAATAAACTCATTCAGTTAGCGGTAATCAAGCATGTAAATTGGAGGCTGCACAATTAATCAAAATATAATGGAAATAATGTGTGTGCAATATCCAAATCGCAGGAGCTGCAATTTATTTATTTTTTTGTTAAAGGTAAAAATGTGTCACCACATTGTTGTGTCCTGGTGATACAGAGACGCCTCCGGCCCACAAATCGTTTTCTCCAGACGTAAAAGGAACATGGAAACTTTTAAGTCCTAGTGACATTTCTTTTATTTTGAAAGCAATATTCAGATTCATTTCTAGGTTTTAATTGATTTCATTGTGGCTCTTCCCATGATCTTCCACATGCTGATGTTTCCTCTCGTCCACGTTGTGTTACAAGGATCAGAGTTTATCCTCAGGACCACAGTCAGCAAACTCATCTCTAGCTCCATTTATTACAGTACTAGGTTTATTTGAATCTCATCTAGTTTGTAGGATTTACTTTAACTTTATTTGACAATTACACGTTGGTTAAATCAACACGGTCGGATTAACTGATACTTTTTCATCCCTGTAAAATCATTCGTGGCTCGTGGCGTAAGTCGCAGAGTGTCGGACAGACACTCAGACGGAAACTTGGCTTCGCTTGTGAAATCCAAAGCGCCCGATGCAGATGTGTGTTTTCATGTTTCATTGTCTGAGATGAGAGTTTTTAGTGATAAATGGGAACGACACCAAAGCAAATATAAGACTGAGCTTTGTGTCAACATATTTTCTGTTTTAAGTGGAAGGGGTGAAAGGCCTTTTTGGCCTTAGAACAAGCTGGAACCAATTCTTTGATTCCCCTTTTTATTGGATTTGTAATATCAACTTTAGTCATTTTCCACTTCCTGCTCCTGTTGCTCACCTGTCCTATAGCCGGGCCTCTGCTGCGACGTGTGTGTGATCTGGGGCTTTACAAGTAAACTCTAAGGTTTACTGCAGGTCAGGTGTGGGTGGCAGCGTGGGGCATCAGTGTCGTGGAGAAGAGGAGCAGGGGAGGCAGGAGAAGAGGGTATAGGGGGGGTGGGGGGTGGTCCACTTCCTGCTCCTGTTGCTCACCTGTCCTATAGCCGGGCCTCTGCTGCGACGTGTGTGTGATCTGGGGCTTTACAAGTAAACTCTAAGGTTTACTGCAGGTCAGGTGTGGGTGGCAGCGTGGGGCATCAGTGTCGTGGAGAAGAGGAGCAGGGGAGGCAGGAGAAGAGGGTATAGGGGGGGTGGGGGTGGGGGGGGGTACTTTGATGGCGGACAGGAAACCTCCAGGGTCATGAATTTTTCTGCGGGCTGCGTCCGAGGGGTTACAAGGACCTGTACAGGTGTAAGGAAGCAGGTTGTTGCAGACATCTGTTCAGCACGGGGACCCGGGTGTCCACGCCGCCCTCTTCGTGCTCTCCCCTCCTCCCCTCCCCCTCTCTCCTCGCGCCGATCTTCCATCCTCACCCTCCTTCCCCTCTCTCTCTCTCTCTCTCTCTCTCTCTCTCTCTCTCAGCGGTCCCCTTTCCTGACCCCACCCTCCCTCAGTGCCGCCGCCCGGAGCCAGACTGCTGGATTGTCAGCAGATGCAGAAGAGAGACAGAGAGACAGAAAAAAATGAGAGTGAAACAGTTTTTTCTTTTTTTCTTTTTTTTTGTGGTCTCACATTTAGCGCCTGAGGGCCTTCAACACCAAAGGTAGAGCGGGGGTGGACACAGCTGCAGTGCCGAACTTGCCCCAGGCACAAATAAAGAGATCTAATGTGGTTTGACTGTGTTGTCGGTGAGACCGGGGAGCCGGGGAGGCACTTCAGAGCCAACTTAGCACAGCAACATCTGCCGCCAAGTTTTGCCGGGGATCGACTGGGGACAGCAGGTAGAGGAAGGTGGCGGGGGGTGGGGGGTGGGGGGTTGGCCTTATTCTGATGCTCACTCAGGCTCTTTTTGAAGAGGCGGTGGCGTGTGTGTGTGCACGCGTGTGTGCGTCTTTTTTTTCCCTCATTTTGC